CTTACTGAGAAACTTAAAATATCCATCCCAACAAACAGCATAAGCCGTACTCATCGCATGGGGCGAATAACCAGTGGAAAACCTCGCCCCATTCTGGTCAAATTTCATAGCATAGAGGATAGAAATAAAGTCTGGATGGCGAAAACTGGGCTCAAAAGTAGCGGCATCACAATATCAGAGTTTCTCACTAAAGTAAGACATGAGGCTTTCATGAATGCTCGTAAACACTTCGGCGTGTCTAAGTGCTGGTCACACAACGGGGCCGTGATGATCATTGGGGCAAATGGTCAGAAACATCGAGTCTGTTCAGTTGGTGAGGTTAACAGACTTATTAATTTGTCGCCGATTGCTACTAAAAATGTGACGATTCCAGCAGCTAACCCGCCAGCGTCAGCCCTGAAGACATCGGAAACGGCAGGCTTAACACGTTCCAAACGTTTTGTGAAGAAGTGATTTGTTTTTGTACGCTGTTCAGTGTTCTATTATTATCGGTGGCAATATTATTCGCGTTATTCTGCTACACTCGTAACTTTTCGGTGGGTAGATTCAGTAGGTAAATATGTTTTATTATTATTTTTTTTTTATTATAGTCTTACGTTTAAATTTAGAAATATTTTCGAGTTTACCCGTTTTAATATTACACTTTATATATATCAATCTACTTAAATTGTATGACAGTTGCAATATGCCAGTTTGATAGATCTGACATTTGACGGAGCTGTCATTATACCAATTATCTATGGTAAGTTGGGCCAAATCAGGCTTAAATATGCCAAAAGTTCTTAAAATTACTATAGCAATTGGATTTTTTTTTTTTTCTTTTTCTTTTATATCAATAATAATAATGTTGCCACCTATTATAAATTGTTGTGTTTATTTTCATATTATCATTGATTTCTTTTTGTATTTCATTAATCTCTTACTCCTACTACTGGCGGGTAGATGCGTTGATAAATTATTTGCTTTTCTTATTATATACATATTTAGTAGAATATAACTATTTATATTCTATATTATTTTATATATATATATATATATATTTTTTTTTTTTTTTTTCTTTACACATATTTATGGATAGTGACTCTGATAATTCCTTTTATTCCGTATCGTATTCATCTAGTGAAGGTAGTTTTCACAGCACACCTATTCCGTTAGATGAATTCTTAAATACTACTTTTACTGACCTCCCCAGGAACTTTAATGCAGTTCACATAAATGCACAAAGTATTCCTGCACACTTTACCGAAATGCTTGCTACATTTAATATAAATAATCTCCATGCTATCTTCGTTTCCGAGTCATGGCTGAAGCCATGTCTTCCTTCTGTCTCCTACACATTACCTGGTTTTCACTTAATACGTTGTGATCGCACCGGTAGGGGTGGTGGTGGTGTGGCCATATACCTTCGTTCCGATATTCCCTTTATTTTAATTAATTCCTCTCTCAGCACAAATCCTTGTAATGAATCTGAACATCTTTTTATCGAACTAACGCTTTCTCATTCTAAAATCCTTCTAGGTGTTTTTTATAGCCCGCCTACCGTTGATTATTTCCCCTCTTTTGAAAAACTCCTCGAAGACCTTATACCTACCTATAAGCATACTATCATTATGGGTGATTTCAACACTTGCCTTTTAAAAAATGACTCCCGTGCGAATCGCCTTAAATGTCTAGTCAATGCTTGTAACCTAAATATCCTACCCCTCCAAGCCACCCACTTCTTTCCTAGCTGCATTCCTTCCTTGCTTGACTTAATCCTAGTCTCATCACCTGATCACGTTGCTAAATTTGGTCAACTCCCTGCAGATGCTTTCTCTTTCCACAATCTCATTTTCCTTTCCTATAAAATTCGCCCTCCTAAATTTAAACGTAAGATCCTTATGCAGCGCAATTTTGGTGCCATTGACATAGATTGCTTGCGTAGGGACGCGTCGGAATGTGACTGGTCTGGTATAGGTACTCTATCTAATATCAATGATCAAGTTGAACATTTCAATAAACTGGTTTTAAACCTTTACGACAGACATGCTCCTATTCGCCCTGTCAGGGTTAAGCATTTGCCTGCTCCCTGGCTTACGGATGAGATCAAGACCTTCATAACTAAAAAAAACAACGCTAAGTCTAAGTTTAAGTCGGATCCTGACAAATATCGGGATGCTTATATTAGGGCCAGGAATCTCTGCAATAGGGTGTGTAGAGAGGCTCAACGACACCACATTCAAAAATCTGTCGAAAATGGTGATCCAGCCAAAGTCTGGAAATTTCTTAAATCACTGGGGGTTGGAAAACAATGTAATGATAATTCAGTGCATAATATTAATATTGAATGTCTCAATCAACATTTTTGTTGCTCTCCTACTATAGATATATTTGAAAAATCTACTACTTTACGTAACCTTTCTAAAATTTCCAACTCTAATTATACTCCTTTTATCTTCGATCAATTGACCGATTGTGATGTTGAGAAGAGCTTGCTCTCAATTTCTTCGAATGCCGTAGGTACCGATAGCGTTAGTCGTAATATGCTCTTGCCTATCCTTGATATCCTTTTACCCACCATTACCTTAATCTTTAATACGTCTCTTTCGTCAGGTATGTTTCCTTCAGTTTGTAAAGATGCGTTTATTGTTCCTCTTCCTAAAAAGAAAATTCCTAGCTCATTCGCAGACTACCGTCCTATTTCTATACTCCCTTTCCTATCCAAAGCTCTAGAACGATTAGTTCAACAAAAGCTTAATTCGTTTCTATCTAAAAATAATATTCTGAATTCTTTACAATCCGGTTTCCGATCTGGTCATAGTACGACTACCGCTCTCGTGAAAATCACTGACGACATTCGTTTCGGTATGGAGAACTCTAAACTTACTGCTCTCACTTTACTTGACTTCAGTAATGCTTTTAATACTGTAGATTTCGATGTTCTATTAGGTCTATTATCCTCTCTCAACATATCTCCAATGGCAATTGACTGGTTTCGTAGTTACCTGTTGGGGCGTCGGCAGCGTATTCGCATCGATGACGTTCTGTCTGCATGGTGTGACACGTCTGCTGGCGTCCCTCAGGGTGGTGTCTTATCTCCTCTTTTATTCGCCGTATTTATTAGCTCAATCACTTCCAAACTTCAATCTTCCTACCACCTTTATGCAGATGATCTCCAAATTTACTCTCAAGCAACCCTGGGTGATATTAGTCAAGCCATTACTAATATTAACGAAGATCTTGCTCGCATATCTGTTTGGAGCAAATCTTACGGTCTCGTAGTGAACCCCAAGAAGACACAAGTTATTCTTATTGGTAGCCCGAGGTATATTTCTAAAATCACTTGGAATGACCTACCGCCTGTGGTTCTCGATGGGGTTCTAATAGAATACAGTAAATCCGTTAAAAATCTTGGAATTATCTTTGATAATACTTTGTCTTGGTCTCATCAAATTTCCGAGGTTAGTAGGAAAATGTTTGCAGCAACAGGTGCCTTGAACAGATTGCGTAATTTCCTTCCCCTTGACACCAAAATTGCACTTGCTCACTCCTTGCTCCTTCCTATCCTTGATTACGCTGACTCCTGTTACTTGGATCTCACTGAGGAGCAATTAAACAAACTTGAGCGTCTTCAAAATTTATGTATTCGCTTCATATTTGGTCTTCGGAAATATGATCACATTTCACAGTTTCGTATTCAACTCAAGTGGCTCCCAATCCGTTTTCGTCGCAATCTACATATCCTATCTCTCCTTTATAACATTCTTTTTAACCCCGCCACTCCTGATTACCTTAAAAATTGCTTCCTATTTCTCAGTGAGTTGGTAGTTAGACTCAGTAGTTGTCATTCCTTGCGCAGCATAAACAATCTCCGTCTTAGATTTCCCAATCACTCCACTTCCTTCTATTCAAAATCATTTTCTGTCCAGGCTGTTAGGTTGTGGAACTCGCTTCCCGCTCCTATTCGGCGCGCTCAATCTCTTGCTAGCTTTAAAGCATCAGTAAAAACTCATTTCCTTTCCCTTTAGTTCTACTTTTCCCTTTTCTTATAGTCCCTTTCTTTCCTTCAAACTTTTCGTGGATATGTGTATTATTAAGTTTATGTATGTTTATGTAGGTATGTACATATGTATGTCTATATATATTTATGTATATTTGCATGTATTATTTATACCCATCTTAGTTGTGTTGTCATTTGTACCACCTACTCTTTTTCTTATATTTTCACTGTCTACCTAAAGGTTGCCTGTAAGAGATTGCTTAGCGATAAGGCCGCCTTTTGTACTCGTCATTGTTATACATATTTTTATAGTAATTAATATTTTCTGTAACTGGTGCAAAAAAGTGTAAAAATAAATAAAAAATAAATATTTGTATCAGTTATCTAGTACCCATAACACAAGCTTCAGCTAGCTTAACTTGGGTCTAGATGGCGCTGTGTGACAATTCACACAACAATTCCTGAGATTATTATTAAGTTGATTTTTTCATTATATACATTTTACTCGCAAATGTATCAATAAAACATAAAGGTACGTTCACACCATCGCGAAAGCATAACCCCATTAAGCACTCGTTTCATTAGCATCAATAATTCACGCGGCGCGGGATCGGGACGCGATTTGTCGCGAAATCCACTCGTGTGAAGATCCATATGATGGTACAGACTGATGGTAGAATTCACGATTACGTTTTAATTTGGCTAGACATGTATTTATTCATGTGTTCCGAGGTGGATATGAATAATAATCTAACACCAATTTTAAAACTAGCTTTTGCCCGAGGCTTCGCTCGCATAAATTGCGTTAATTTATCCCCTTAGGGATGGAATTTATCAAAATCCTTTGACCAATGCGATCATTTACTTGATATAAAGAAACTTCAAGTTTTTTAGTCGTTTATTGTTCACAGCGTTTTTTCCAGAGAGATTATGACAATGACGCAGAAACAAAGACAACACTTTTAGTGTTGCCAACCTTGTCTCCATTTTAGGCGTGGACATCCTCCGGCCATTGAAAGAGTTAACTTTCAATTTCTTCAGTATCTTCCACAGGTAATTTTACAATGTAACGAACGGCTCGCCGTATCGTTCCTCTCGCAGTGTAGATATCCACCACTCGACAAATGTTATCTGCACCATGATGCAGCTTCGTTACACGACCCAGCCGCCAGCTCTGGGGTGGTATGTTTTCATTTCTTAACAGCACCATATCTCCTACTTTAGGATCTCCGGTTCCTGATTTCCACCTTGTTCTCTGCTGCAACTCAGCAACAAATTCTTTGCTCCAGCGTTCCCAAAAATGCAATCGCAGTTTCTCTATCATGTAGAAATTGGAATTAGCTTCTTCTGCAGCAGCATGAGGCAGGGACGCCAGTGGTCGACCGATAAGAAAGTGCCCCGGGGTTAAAGGATTTAGGTCCAACGGGTCGGAAGATAAAGGAGAAAGAGGTCGAGAATTAAGAATAGCTTCTATTTGGGTGAATAGAGTGGACAATTCTTCAAAGGTTAGGGAAATATTACCTGCAACTTTCTTTAAATGATATTTAGCTGCCTTTACGCCCGCCTCCCAGACGCCTCCAAAGTGTGGGGAATAGGCTGGACTAAATTTAAAAGAAATTCCTTCAGAGTTAGCAAAATCTATTACCGAATCACGACTGGAGCGTATAATCTTACCTAGTTCATTGTTTGCCCCCACGAAGTTGGTGCCATTGTCGCAATAAATTGTTTGAGGTTTACCTCTACGCGCAACGAATCTACGTAAACATAGGATAAATGCTTGAGAACTTAGATCGCCTACCACCTCTAAATGAACTGCTCTAGTACTAAGGCAGACAAATAGGCAAAGATAACATTTTGTAATTCTATTCCCACGACCCTTTTTACTCGATATCATGAATGGTCCAGCAAAATCAGTACCGCTTGCATGAAACGGAAATGTGGCATTAGTTCTAACTGATGGCAAGTTTCCCATTATTGGTCGTATATTAGGCTTACCATTGTACCGTGTGCACACAACGCACTTCTTTGTTATACTTCGGGCCAAGAGCCTACCATTTATTGGCCAATATTCTTCACGAAAGGATGCAAGAAGCTGCTGAGGTCCAGCATGGAATAAACGATTATGTTCGTACCGCATTAACAAAAGGGTAAGTCTATGTTTACTATCTAATATGATAGGATGTTTCTTATTGTAAACGAAGCTAGAGTTTTTAATCCGGCCGCCCACTCTTAATATACCTTCCGAATCAAAAAATGGGTTTAAAGATAAAAGTTTAGATTTATTTGATAATTTAGAATTTTTTCTTAAACATTCCAAATCATTATAAAAGGATTCCTGTTGACTTAATTTAATTAATATGGATCGCGCCTTATCTATTTCATCTTTTTGTAGATTATCGTATAATTTATTATTGCAGGTTCGTGTCCTGTCACGGTCGCCAAATGACCAATGCGATCATTTACTTGATATAAAGAAACTTCAAGTTTTTTAGTCGTTTATTGTTCACAGCGTTTTTTCCAGAGAGATTATGACAATGACGCAGACACAAAGACAACACTTTTAGTGTTGCCAACCTTGTCTCCATTTTAGGCGTGGACATCCTTTCTTAGGGAATGCCTATGTCATAGTAGCTTTATGCATGCAAAGTCTCAGCCCGATCGGTTTAAAATTGACAAAATTTCATACGAACTTTCTTCCCCTATTTTATCCCCTTGGGGGTAGAATTCATTAAAGTCCTCTCTTAGCGGATGCCTATGTCATAACATCTATTTGCATGCCAAACTTCAGCCCGATCCGTCCAGTGGTTTGGGCTGTGCGTTGATAGATCACTATGTCAGTCACCTTTGACTTATATATTTTATATTATATTTATATATATAGATGTAACAAATAAATGTTATGCGCACGTCATACATAGTGGACGTCAAAAAGGGTAGAGACGAGCTAACCTCAACCGGATTGGGCCGACAGCGAGCCGATTGCTAGTGTCATGCGCCGACGAATGACATGCTTATGTATTTTAATGTCAGATTTCGGAGATTATAACAAGTAAAATATATGGAAGAGTAAAAATAAATATCTAATTTATATATTTGATAAATCATTACATAGTATTAAACAAAGTCGCTATCGCTGTCTATCCCTATGTACGCTTAAATCTTTAAAATTTCGCAACGGATTTTGAAGCGGTTTTTTTAATAGATAGAGTGATTCAAGAGGTAGGTTTATATATATAATACATGTACACCCATGCGGAGCCGGGGCTAGTAGCTAGTTAATTATAAACCATCAAATTATATTAGCGTCCCAACAATAATACAGTTATTTTTCTTAACATTTTACTAACACTCGTTGTAGGTTATAGAATGAGTGGACTGTATGTGTAATGTAAATCAAGCAATGGATAGAAAATGGTAAATACTTATAATGAAGATAGGTACGTGTACATACGGTTGTAGGCAAAAAGTGACTATAAAAATATATGACAATTCTAAAAGAAAATACATTTAAAATTGGTAGAAAAATAAATATATAAAAATGTGCAAAGAGTTTGCAACACTCGTCCTTTGTTTGGTTTTTTTTATTATATAAAAATTAATAATTAAATAATAAATAGACTTATGTACACTGTATATTTATTATGTTATAATAAAGAGTAAGGATAATTTAAGGTATAAAAATAAAAAAATATAAAATTATAAATTTTCTAAAAAAAATAAGTTGTTAAACTAATTTTAAGACATTTTGATGGCATTAGAATGAAATTTTAAGTATATCCCGATGATTATCAAATTAATATGGATATAATAATATTTACAATAATAACGATTACAAGGTCCCTGCTATAAACATAAACAATATTTTTTAGTAAATAAAAATGTAATAGTTTTATAAAATAAACCAAAAAAAATAAATATTAAAGAGTAAATGTTTTTATATTATTAATACAGCACGTGAGCCATGTTTAAACCGCGGCCTATTTGCCAAACCGTCGCTTGCACGACTATTTTTAAACAATTACCCAAATCTGACAATAATAGAACAGTGTCGGTGTTTCGTTACAAATTAAATCCTGCCCCTAATAACCGCTGAGGTTTTTCCCCACTTTTGTTCCACTATCTCATAAAAGATGCATCGAGCGGAACAGGAAAATTAATTCCAGACAATGCCAGCGGACTGGCGCGAAACAAGGCGCAACTACGACGGAATGAGTTTTTATGTATTTACACTGCAATTTTAAAATTTAATTCCATATTTTTGACATAGGAATTGCGATTTAAAGGTTTTTAAATTTCAAAATAGAATTCGTTCAAACTTTTTTATTTATCTGTACTCGAGTAGAGTACTTTAGTCCTACATGTTTCAGCCGCCAAGCAGCTTGTTCGTAAGATGTTTTGATTGAAGGTTTGGGAGATTTGGTAGTGAAACTACAGGTAACCTTAGTCTTACCTGTTTCAGCCGCCAAGCAGCTTGTTCGTAAGATGTTTTGATTGAAGGTTTGAGAGATTTGGTAGTGAAACTACAGGTAACTTAGTCTTACCAAACTCAGCAGCCAAACATCTTGTTCGTAAGATGTTTTGATTGAAGGTTTGAGAGACTTGGTAGCGAAACTACAGATAACTAAGTCTTATCTAATTCAGCCGCCAAACATCTTGTTAGTAAGATGTTTTGATTGAAGGTTTGAGAGACTTGGTAGTGAAACTACGGGTAACTAAGTCTTATCTAATTCAGCCACCAAACAGCTTGTTCGCAAGATATTTTGATTGAAGGTTTGAGAGACTTGGTAGTGAAACTACGGGTAACTAAGTCTTATCTAATTCAGCCACCAAACAGCTTGTTCGCAAGATATTTTGATTGAAGGTTTGAGAGACTTGGTAGTGAAACTACGGGTCACTAAGTCTTATCTAATTCAGCCACCAAACAGCTTGTTCGCAAGATATTTTGATTTGTAAAGGTTTGGGACATTTAGTAGTGAAACTACAAAGTACCAAAGCATAACATTGTAGTCCTCTGGAAAACATGAGTTGTTACATGATGATGTGTTAATTATTGAGCTGATTTTGCCTGTCTACGGTTATCACTTACTATCTATAATAGAAAATAAAAAAGAATAGAAATAGAAAATCATTTATTCAAATAAACTTACATTTAAGCACTTTTGAATAGTCATCACATTTTTTTTAATCTATCGCTCATTCGCTAGTGGACCGTCATCTTGTTTTCTCAGATAAAGTTGTCAGTTCTTTGCAAAAGTACATTTCATTATTGAATTATATTATTTTGTTTAATTCTTCTACGATTTGTGAGACAAATGTTCGGTGCGGAAACTCTACTGAAGGCGTTACGAACTTCTCTATTTCTATTAATAAATGATCAATAATCAGATTCGCAATTTAGTCGCCGAAATGTCAATTACAAGCTTCCAAACTATATTCGAACTCTATTCGATACCTTCCTACCTACCGATGATGCCTTCTAGAGGCGACACAATATTCAAATTAAAAAATATTTTTTTCATTTATTCATGTAGGATATTTTGGCCATTTATGAACGTCAAATTTTTTATATTATATTTTTTTTCCTACTGTCCAGTTCATACATATAGATCCAATTGAGAAGAACTGGCAAGACATTCAACTGTATAACAATTTTTTCATTTTCAAAACTAGAAGCTCGAAACTTATTTATTAAGCTTTTGATTAAATACAAGTAAATGAAATACTTACACTTAATTTTAATAAAATAGGGGATATAAGTTTGTATGTAAATTCACCATTCTAAAGCTAGAATGATGTCATGCATATTTTATTAATAAAAAAAATTGCCTAAATAATTAACAATATTCGCGGACACAACAAGTCATAACATAAATAAATTCTATAGGAATATTGGAACTATACCGGTCTGATAGGTAGCGATAAATTGAGGCAGTAATACCAATCTTTGCAATATATAGGCCGTATTGTTTTCTATTCCCACCCATTCTCTTTGATTCTTATCACCAGATCCAATTGACTCCCAAAAGCGTGCAGCCTCTCAAAGAGTTTCACCGAAATAAATCGCAATTGTCTGTAGAAATAGTCAAGTAAGAACGTTAAATTGGATAAAGCGGCAATATTGGAGCGCTCACGGGGCCGTAATAGGCAATTCTCGACATCCAATCCCGTACCACGATGACTTGGACTATTTAAATATGGTGCATAATCCAATGACGGTTTGACGGTTGTATTGTTATATTTAAGTAGAAATATCAATAACCGTTATTCTTCTTCTTCTTTCGTTTCAATGGCAACTAAATACATATCTATACATCTACATATAAATAAAATTAGAGTGTCTGTTTGTAATATTGAAAGAACCGTTTTTTACTACATGCATATGAATATAAATACGGTACACCAACATAAAATTTTTTACAGTTTTTGTCTGTCTGCCTGTCTATTTGTTCCGGCTAATCTCTGAAATGGCTGTACTGATTTTGACGAGACTTTGGTAGGTAGCTGAGGTAATAAAGAGTGATTTCGGCTACTTTTATTTTAGAAAAATTCTTTTATTATAGAAATATAGCTAGTATTTAAGTACATTTTCTCCAGAATGTTGCGACGACTGTTGTGCATTCTGTCGCATTTTTTAGGTCTTCCTTTGTGCAGGATGTTGGACACAGTGACAAGTGAGTGCAAGATAGGAGCCTACCCGCGGTGCACCTGGATACAGCTAGACATGGTAACGCAGTGTCTAGCCTGGCCAATCCTCTCACCACAATGACAACTATAATCGTTATTAAAAAAATATATAGGCACTCTTGAATAGCTATATTCTTGTTTGTGATTTAAATATGTGCATATTCCAATGACGATTTGACGGTTATATTATTATTTAAGTAGAAATAGAAATAATTGTTATTAAAATAAACTTAATATGAGCACTTTTGATTAGTTATATTTTTTTATTCTACCACTCATTCGGAACGC